GCGGTCCAGTGACACTCATATCAGATTATAATAAAGTTTTAAAATCAACAACCTTCAGTCATGTATGAATATATTTTCCACATTTTCTAAATGACGAAATAAGAGGCTTGAAAACATCGTTCTGTGTGCAATTAATCTATTGTGTCAAATTTAGTGAAATCAGGTGCTGAACTAAACCTTTAATCAATACTCTAATGTATATAATATGAATGTTAGACAATGTTGCAACAGATTAACAATTAAGCACTAGGGATGCTGGACAATTTTGCAATTAATGCATTTTGATTAATTTCTGGATCAAAGTCTAAAAGATTCATGATAATTGTAGTCCTGATTATCAAAACACAGTGAGCGAACACAAATGTTTTCTCACAAGATAATTAGGCACTGATAAATTTCAATATATCGACTCATCTAACCTGGACTGGATTATTCTTGACTGAACACAAATTCGTAAAAACAAACACTTTGATTTGTAAAATTTATGCCCTGCCAAAAAGAAAACTGAGACAAAAGGATTATCACCAAAAACTAAATTTGGCTCATTATGTCTTTGTTGGATTCACATTTCAGGGCCATTATCACTATAGTTCATCAATTCTCATCGTACACTTCAACAAAATGTCCCTTTCTGAATGACAGCAGACTTTTCTACTGGCTGGTTTGTTTATAAATGCATTTTGGGGCGTCTTCCTTCATATTATGTCCAATTCTGACCAGAACCGTCAACCATTATGGTTTGTATTTAGATGCAGGTCCCAATGGTCAGAACTAAAATAATTAAAAAGGCTTTTAAATTTTCTGCCCCTAAGACCTGGAATAGTTTGCAGTTGGAATGAATATTGCAATAACATTTTACTTTGTGGAAATTTAAATAAAGTATACAAGCCACACACAAGTTGTGCAGCACAACTATCAGTAGAGATTAATAACAGAAATGCAGTAATCTCCAAAATTATAACTATAATTAGAAATGTAGAGTGGAAATGTTGTGCATAAGTAAAAATGTATTTCTTACCCCTTACCTAAACCAGTCAACAAGATATGTCAGCTACCACAGCAGCCATAATATTGATCACAAAGCTGTATTTTTCTTAAATAATTAAAAACAATTTTAGTAAAAATGAACTGTGGTTTATTTCTCTGAAACAGGATGAGGACTGATGAACACATCTATACAGTTACATGCTGTAGTGTAATTAATTTACCACACAAAGTTCAAGATCTCCTGCGCCCCCTGATTTCCTATCCTTTTGCATTACAGAGGCGCTACTGCGCATGTACAACTTTTAAACAGAGTCGATAGGCAAAGGTTTTTGCACTCCAAGGCCGAAATACGTCACCAATCTGACGACAAGGACACAGCTTTGCTCGTCATTAAAAACTAAATATTTATCTTAAACTTATGCATATATTTCTAAATATTTTATTTTTATAAATGGTTGGGGCTGCGCCACTGATGCATGTGCATGCACCCACAGAGAAAAAGAATTGCGTAACGTAAAGAAGGAAAATGTAGCACTGCTAAGTTATTTATCCCACTACATTTGTTTTTCTGCAGTTTAGAAGGTAGCTTTTTTTTTTTTTAAGAGCTACATGGACAAGCAAAGCGAACAAGGCTGAATTTTATTGGAAATGAGCTGCATGGCTTCTACGAACTCTAGGCACACAGACCTGAAGGTGACAAAGAAAGGTGATTAAAAGCTCGGAATGATGAAGAATAATTCTGAAGGGATCTAAGATGCATAAAAAAAAGTTATGTTCCCACTAATACTTGCTAGCAAACTAACCAGCAGGTTAATCTGCCTGCTTGCTAGAGAACCCAGCTGTTACCCTTAAAATAAAATAGATCAAACACCCATGTAATCAAAATGATAAAACAGTAAGGCTGTAAGCGTTTAACAGAAGAAACCTCCAGCAGAACCAGGCTCATTGCAAACATTGCGAAGGAGACAGAAGCAGACATACAGAAATATAGTCTAGTAAACTAACCCCACCCGCCAGCGGCCAAAATAATTTTTGCCTGCGAGTTTGTACGGTAAATAACAAAGTACACATTTAATCTCCATTTAGTCTGGTTTACCAGGCTAAAAGAAAGAAGCAGGGTTATGCATTGAAGAAAGGCTCACGCCCATCACGGATACTTAACTTCCAATTGGGAAATCAGTCTTCTTCCCTGTTATTAGGTAAATAGATACTTTAATGGGAGACTTTTATTTTGAAATTTGCATTGGGGTGTGTTTTTTAAAAGCCCTAGAGTTTAATTTATAAAAACCTGTTGATTTTGGGTCACAATCTTGAGCCATATACTGCAATTCATATCTGTGCATAATGTAGATGCTTTTATTTTGTAGAGTCCCTGGGGTCTTACTTTGAAAGTCTAGCAGGGGCGTGAGTGTTAAGGAAAGGGTAAAGTAGTGTAAATAACCAGAAGGCTCCCACCACACGTCGTCACAGTGAGACTTTTTTCACACACTTCAGAGAGTGTGATTTATTTCTACAAACCAACTTACTGAATGACATAAGCTACTCAAAAAATAAAAAAAAAAGTCGGCTAAAAATAAAAAGTCTGTCAGTACGTTTTGTTCAATGAAAACCAACGGTTTTGTCTATCAAATTGAGCTCAATTTTTGCTTTACTTTGATCATTGTCATGCTTAACATTACAGCGTTCAAGATTCTATGAGGGACCCAGTTACACAGAGATGTCCCTTAGCAAAAAGTAGTATACTTGAAGTAAATTCTATTAAGAATACTTAAGTATAAGTTTAGAAAGTATACCGAACAACTTACTTTTAGTGTACTTGAAGTATTACTAAAGTAATACTTCTTAGAACTAAATTGCAACATTTTTAAGTTTACTAAACTATACTTTAGTGAACAATAAAGTAAACAATATAGTCAAATACTCTTGACTAAACTATTGTTAAGTATATGAAATCTAGTTTAGAATAAGTAAACTCTAAGTGCACTGCCTGATTTTAAGTATGAAATAAGTGCCATTTTAGTAAACGTGAATAAACTACTTTTTGCTAAGGGGTGGGTACACTTAATAATTAAAATGAAAAAAGGGATAAACAGATATAATAATATAATCACATAAAACCTAGGCCTTCCACGTGGATGTCCAAATGTTGTATTTGTAAAACACCTTTTTGCATCATAGATACCAGTACCATTTTATAATGAAAATACTTTCCATTCGTAAACGTCAAATAGCTACTACATTTACACACCATGGCTTAAATAAGTAGTTATAGCTCTGATTCCATTTGGAAATCGGCTGCTTGGTTCAAATTGTGTTTTAATGTTCCCATTTACAGAATTTTCGGGATATTCTAAATAACTCAGCAACATAAGTAGGGTATATCGCCTTCATGGGGATGACTAGTGACTCGTTACCCAACCCGTCCATGCGCGCCTTCTGAAAAAAAAAAAAAAAAAAAAAAAACTCCCGTTGCACAGAGGAGTAGTTAGATCTTGAACTTGCACGGTGACGCACGGTTCTCAGTGTCCTTCTGTGACCCAGCTCATAGGTCATCCATCATCATTTACCAGCAGGATCTCGGGACACCAACCCACTGCCAATGCCCCCCCTGCACCATCCTTGCACAATTACGCACATCCTTGGCGCAGCCATTCATGAACATGCGTGGACATCTACACCCTGATTAATAATCACACTTGTGATTATTAATCATTTATTAAACACTTGTTTGCCACTTTTTTATTTTTCTGATTGAATAAATGTTTCCTTTTGAGAATAAACGTTTTTTTATTTTATGCTCTTTGGTGGACAAACGAACGCGCAATTTAACTCCACAAACCCTTAAACTAAATAAGGTGAAACTCATCGGAAAAAAAAAAATAATAATTTTCGGTGCTCTTTCCATCACATTTGATTCCATTACTTTTTAGCTTGTTGACCTGGATTTAACAAGTATGTGCGCCTGTCGCAAATTATACGGTTGGTCAAATCTTTGTTTGGATTAGCGCACGCTTTCATGTCGGGTTATTTTATTATACATCCCGAGTTGTGCGTCTTTTGTGCACAGGCACGCTTTATATGTGAGGCCAGTGGGCTAGATAATTCCATACTAAAGAGAAATTCATTAAAATATTGTTTTTGATTAGTAAAACGTAAAAAGCTGTAAAAAGAGAATTGTGATTTATCATTTAGTAAATGTTCCTTAACATTCCTGCTGATTGCGTCTGTGCTAGACTCACAGTTTAGTCACAATATCACTAAAATTGTTACTAAATTGTTATTACAACTATAACCAATAAAAAGGTAAAAATTGTCCCTTTCTTAAAGCTCAACTGTGCCTGCACAGAAATTTCATCAAGACATGACAGCCAAATCAAATAAGCAAGTTTAATATATGTTTTTTTTATTTGTATTATTATTTTATTCAAAACATAATATATCATGAAATTAAAACCAAAACAAATTTTTCCTAGCTCTCCTCAGTTATACATTTATAAAAATAAAATAACCCAAAACTTTAACATCAAACTGATCTCATTTAGACATATAAGACAAAAAGCAAAGAAGTTAATTTCAATACCAATAAAGATTATACAGTTCATTATTTCTTTCCAAATTACATTTATTTTTTCGTATATACAATAATAAATTCAAATTAAAGTATAATTTATAGTTTAATACATTGTCTATGAAATTAATATTCATCTATCTGTGCTTTATTGAAAACATTAAAGGGAGTCAGTATTTAGTAACTGTGCAAGAAATAAATAGCCTGTAAAATTATACTTTCACTCTGTCTCGTATGAAAAGCCTCAATTAGTCATCAATGTATAGCTGTTGTATTCAATCTGACGTTATTTCCAGTTTCACCAAAACATTCGCCGACAAATAGGGGAGGAAAAGGAAATGATGCAACCTTGTCAAGGTTGTGAAAGTTTACAGGGGGGAAAAATCCACGGCACTATAAAAGCCATGAGGATGCCAGAGTTGAGACAGATACACTCAGAGGATTTCAATCAAGACAAGGATGGCACTCTTGAAGCTCTGTGAGTATCACATATATGATTTGTGCATCTTAGCAAGGGAAAAAATTAGAATAAAGTTTTTAACATTTCTCTGTGTTATATTTAATATTTCCAGACTTGACTCCTACGCTGCTGCTCCTGGCACTTTGCTGTTCCTTATGGGAGGTCAGCCACTCAATGCCGGTAAACAACAACAAAGGAGAGACGGACTCCTGTGTGTTTTATGCACGGACACTCCTAGAAAACATCACTGATCTTCTAATGCAGGTAAGCAACTTGGGAAAGGTGGGATTGTAAATGGTCAAATATATGTTTGGGTGTTAAACTTAGATCTTATTCTTAACAGCCACAACTGTTTAGTGGAATAAACTGCACAAGGCAGAACATGGAGCTGATATCGGAGACCAACACGCCTACTGTGTGTTCCCCAACGGTAAATGAAATCACAGAAATTGTGCTCAAATATTTATATATATACAGTAATTGGGATTTTTATTTGCTTTTTTTAAACCAAATTTTTGTTTTGCAGAATTCCACATGCTCTGGGATAATTACACCGGCTTTTGATAAGGTAGGCAGCTCTATATCGTAAATATAAAAAGAATTGAAATCTCAATTTTCAATTGTGTGATTAATGACTACTATTGCTGCTCTTTCAATCAGGACAAGTGTGTAAAGGATATGGGAAACGATCTAATCCACTACTACAGATATCTGTCAGCTCAGCCAGATCCTGACAGCATAATTGGTCCTTCTGTTCTCCACAGCCTCAGAGAGCTCATGGAGGTTAGTTGAAAACTGCCACCAGCACTTTCTTAACACTTGCTGCTTGGTACCCTTTACGCTAATACACAAGAATTGCTTTTTTTTAAGCATTAAAAACTCACTTCTGAAATATTTATGATTTCAATACATTACAAAAATTGTTTTTGGAAAAACTAAAGGTCTTTTTTAATCAACAGAACTGCTTTAAGTTGTCTCCACCAGAAAGTTCTACCTCAAATCAGGTAAGATGTTTTAACTTTTTCCTCAAATGCAAGAAGCAAAAAGAAAAGATATTTCTTAAAAAAAAAAAAAAAAAAAAAAAACACACACACACATTCACCAGATGAGCTAATTCAATAAACTCTTCCTCTGTTTTTTCAAGGCTGTTGTGGAGCGATCAAGCAACTACAATGAAAGACTGAGCCTTTGCAAAGTCCTGAAAGGCTTTCAGGTTCGCACCGTCACAATCAACCGAGCCATCAGCTACCTGAACCATATTAAACACACTAACTGAATCCTCACAGACCTCCGTGGCAAGAAATGGGCATCAAGGAACCGCTCCTTAAACAAATGAACCACACCATGGTACTTTAAAAAAACAGCCAGCTCAAAGAGAAACACTGGAATCTATTTATTGTAATGGAAAATATTTATTGTCTTTATAAGACTACAATGTTTCTATTTAAATTAGACGGTTTGTGAAAGTTGAGTTTTATCAAGTATATTTATGGAACTTATGATATTTAAATGTTTTTATATTTAGGAATATTTATTTCAACTATTTATGGTGATGTTGTTTACTTGGTTCTAAAATTGATTAAATAAATGTTGTTTCCGCAAAATACATATTGTTTTTGTTGTCTTTTTATCACTGAGTTCCACCTTCTTTTATAGCTAAAAAAAAATAAATAAAAAAATCTCATGATTCAAACCAGAATCTTCTATTCCCCTTGGAAGTTTTCATATTTTGACACATTATAACAATTTCTATTTTTTTTTACATTTCTTATTATAGCTGTAATATTTTGCCTACTTGAAGACTAAGATTCTCCATTCTTTTTTGCAAAATAATTAATGTTCATTAAGATTGAATGGAAAGCGTCTGTATAGATATTGTTTCATGTCATGAGCAGAGATTTGCAATTGGACTATAGCTGTGCCATTATACCAAATTAAAACAATATAATCTAAACCGTTCCATGTCTATTTTGGCTACATTTTTTAAGATATTTTTTCCTGGTGGAAGGTGAACTTCTGCCCTTTTCTCAGAGCTATTGCTGCATCAACCAGTTTTTTTTTTTCCTAAGATTGTAAATATATTTATCTCGATTTCCATCAACGGCGACTGCCTTTCCTTTCCAAGATGAAGAAAAGGACCCCAACAGCATGATGCCGCCACCATGATACACAACAGAGAATACACTCACCGGCCACTTTATTAGGTACACCTGTCCAACTGCTCGTTAACACTTAATTTCTAAGCAGCCAATCACATGGCGGCAACTCAGTGCATTTAGGCATGTAGACATGGTCAAGACAATCTCCTGCAGTTCAAACCGAGCATCAGTATGGGGAAGAAAGGTGATTTGAGTGACTTTGAACGTGGCATGATTGTTGGTGCCAGAAGGGCTGGTCTGAGTATTTCAGAAACTGCTGATCTACTGGGATTTTCACGCACAACAATCTCTAGGGTTTACAGAGAATGGTCCGAAAAAGAAAAAACATCCAGTGAGCGGCAGTTCTGTGGGAGGAAATGCCTTGTTGATGGCAGGGGTCAGAGGAGAATGGCCAGACTGGTTCGAGCTGATAGAAGGGCAACAGTGACTCAAATAACCACCCGTTACAACCAAGGTGGGCAGAAGAGCATCTCTGAACGCACAGTACGTCGAACTTTGAGGCAGATGGGCTACAGCAGCAGAAGACCACACCGGGTGCCACTCCTTTCAGCTAAGAACAGGAAACTGAGGCTACAATTTGCACAAGCTCATCGAAATTGGACAATAGAAGATTGGAAAAACGTTGCCTGGTCTGATGAGTCTCGATTTCTGCTGCGACATTCGGATGGTAGGGTCAGAGTTTGGCGTCTACAACATGAAAGCATGGATCCATCCTGCATTGTATCAACGGTTCAGGCTGGTGGTGGTGGTGTCATGGTGTGGGGAATATTTTCTTGGCACTCTTTGGGCCCCTTGGTACCAATTGAGCATCGTTGCAACGCCACAGCCTACCTGAGTATTGTTGCTGACCATGTCCATCCCTTTATGACCACAATGTACCCAACTTCTGATGGCTGCTTTCAGCAGGATAATGCGCCATGTCATAAAGCTGGAATCATCTCAGACTGGTTTCTTGAACATGACAATGAGTTCACTGCACTCAAATGGCCTCCACAGTCACCAGATCTCAATCCAATAGAGCATCTTTGGGATGTGGTGGAAAGGGAGATTCGCATCATGGATGTGCAGCCGACAAATCTGCGGCAACTGTGTGATGCCATCATGTCAATATGGACCAGACTCTCTGAGGAAGGCTTCCAGCACCTTGTTGAATCTATGCCACAAAGAATTGAGGCAGTTCTGAAGGCAAAAGGGGGTCCAACCCGTTACGAGCATGGGGTACCTAATAAAGTGGCCAGTGAGTGTATGTATTTAGTAGAATCTGCAGTGATATTTTCAGATGGAGGAAGGAAAAAAATCTTTTTTTTTTTTTTCGCCAGGACATTTTATTTCATGTTTGCCGCGTCTATTAAGGGCAGACTTGTGATATTTTCATATACTATTGCTGTGATGTTGACATTGCTCCCACCTGAGCTGCAGATCTCTGCTGATCCTCTAGTTATGGTGACGCTTTTCTTACCCTGTTAAGTCGGTTGGCAATTGTCTCACACTCTTTCCAGTTTGATAAATGAAACATTACTTGGTGAGATAATTATAGCCTAAGATCTTATTTTACAACATAACCAAACAACTTTAACTCTGATTTGCCCGGTCTGGTGCGATTCATCTTTATCATCATCATCGTTGTTTACATTCTAGAAGACTTAAGTAATTATAAGCATTCATTTCAAATTCTATGACTTTGCTTGATTTTAACTGGTTTTAAAATGTGAAAATTGTCTATTTCTATTTCCAAAAATGTTTCTTTAAAAAATAACGCTCGTAAGCCAAAATGAGGTGTCACCATTCTAGGTTTGTCAGTTTCTCAGAACAGAATGACATCATCCCACAGGTTCAGCTATATGAATCCTAAAAGGTATCTACATTAACAATGGGTTAGTTGAGTAAATGATGTTTCGATACTGCAGGTGAACCACTATCGGTTAGAGGAAAAAAATGTACTGAAAGTGAATACTTGGTTTTTCTGTGGGTGCTGAGGCTGAGAGAGACCTATAATGATGTTACCTCGGAGAGGGGAGACAGACTGATAGGGGGAATCTGACCATCTTTATGAATGAAACTTAGAAAGGTTATCTGTTTAGAAATGATTTGAACCCACCACAAAAGGTCATCAGTTTCTAATCGGTTACAGCTTGCTTTGTTGGTAGTGCTTTAGCCTTAACATATTTAAAATCTGTGAGGCATAAAAATTATGAATTAAATTGTCCTGAAAACTTACATCTGCTTAAATAAATCCCATGGATTATTGCACTAGTTGAGTAGACGGCAGACACTAGACCTCCACCTCCTCTGGCCTGAACAGATTTAAATTGTTCTAACTTCATTCTTATTGTTTCTGTTTTGAAGCCATATCAGCCAATCATTTGCCACTGCAAAGTATTTTTTTAAACTCCTTATAACAATTGCCGTAAATAATAATCTACCCAGAGAAAGAATCACAGAAGATGTTTTTTAATTAGTGTGATGCTTGAAAGAATACATTTTGGATCGTATATCTGAATCAGAATATTTTTAAAGTTTAGGTTCTACGTTTTCACACATAACATGTATGTTGCTCTATTTGTTCTGAACTTAAAACAATCTTTGTTTTAAACATGAACTATTAATGCTAGAAAACCTTATAATAACTAGAAGTTTTACATTTGGAAGTAATATATAATCTTGTCACGACATTTAAGGAACTGTGCACAATAGCATTATTCTAGAGAAAATGCTTCATATTGGTTTTTGATCTCAGAGGTAATTTCAATCTCCTGTCCCTCTTACATTGAAATATAAACAGTACACAAATAACAGCGCAAAAAACAATAGAGAACATTGATATAGGTGCAAAAAGAAGACAGTAGAGAGGATGATTAAAGTCCACATCATGAAATTAATTATAAAAACTATAAAAATAATGTAATATTTTCTATAACTCTATACCTCCCATCATACTTAGCTTAGGATTCATGCCCATATCATGAGAGTTTTCTTTTAAGTTTATATATATATATATATATATATATATATATATATATATATATATATATATATATATATATATATATATATATATATATATATATATATATATATATATATATATATATATACATATGTGTGTGTGTGTGTTTATGCATATATATCTAACCCAAAATAATGAAGCTTTTATGTTCTAAAACCAAAGGTTCTACAAGTCTTATAACAACTTAAAAAAATAAGTACAGACTCTTACTCTATCATTTATTAAGCAAATAACTTTGCTAAAATCCTCCCTTTATTTACACAACTGTGTTTTTTGTTTTTAAGCCAAACATTCTTTTTTTTTTTATGTCACAATTGTTTAAATGTCTCCACCTGTGGTCAACGCCATTAATAAAAACTTACATTTATAATTTTTTTCTGTTATGTCAGAGCTTATTTTACACATATCAAAATGTCATCGCTTTTGACCTATTTTTATTATAAAAACAGAAATTATTAAACCTCAAAGAAAACTGCTAATATTATTTAATTGATCTGTTTTCAAATTATTCTCCATTACTATAAATGACATCTGAATAAATGTTGTTCTTCAAATAAAGTTAAAAGAGTTTATTTTTCTTTAATGGTGATTGCAAGACTCAGGCAAAGATACAAACCCTAAACTGCCAATTATGAATTGGCACCTTAATAACTTTATAAGAGCATGCAGTGTTATATTCTAACTCTTAACCATCTTTAGGAATCTACTTTGAAATCGAATATCTATTAAATTCACATCATGCTCAATTTATGGATTATAAACCTAATACTCTCTTAAATATTTTTTTTTATCTATTGTTCCACTCATAAATGTATACAAAAATATTAAACTACTCATGCAAATAGCCAGTTAGAGGAGCATTTTGCTAATTCATTTCAGATTTTACTGTGCTTTCCACAAGCATTGCCTCAGATTAACAAAAAGACATTCATTGTTTAAACCTATGGTCAGGTCCAACTCTGTTGTTGACTTGGTTTCCATGGAGACATGATAAAAAAGTATTTTCCTGTAACCACCGTCATGATTGTTCAATTCACCTACAGTGCTTAGTTATGTTTGTGCACCCCTCCTTGGAAAGTCCAGGGTCTTACAACCCGATGAGCCTAACCATAACTGTAAAAAGCTTTGGGATTTTAATAGAGCTACCATTATAAGAAAAAAAATAAAACATTTTGGTTCCTCTTATTCTTGCCTCGTTACTTTATAGTGCTTATATCCAGTATAT